GCAGGTGTGGATGCAGATGTGAGATGCAGGTGTGGATGCAGGTGTGGATGGAGTGCAGATGCAGGTGCGGATGCAGGTGTGGATGCAGGTGCAGTTGCAGTGTGGATGCAGGGGTGCGGATGCAGGTGTGGATGCAGGTGTGGATGCAGGTGTGGATGTGAGGTGTGGATGTGAGTGTGGATGCAGGTGTGGATGCTTGAGGTGTGTGGATGCAGGTGTGGATGAGGTGCGGATGCTGGGGTGCGGGATGCAGGTGTGGATGCAGGTGTGGATGCAGGTGTGGATTGCAGGTGTGGATGCAGGTGTGGATGCAGGTGTGGATGCAGGTGTGGATGCAGGTGTGGATGCGGTGTGGATGCTGGGTGTGGATGGGTGTGGATGCAGGTGTGGATGCAGGTGTGGATGCAGGTGCAGATGCAGGATGCAGGTGTGGATGCAGTGTGAGAGGGTGTGGATGCAGGTGTGGATGCAGAGTGTGGATGCAGGTGCAGGATGGTGCAGGATGCAGGTGGATGTGAGGTGCGGATGTGAGGTGTGTGGATGCAGGTGTGGATGCGGTGTGGATGCAGGTGTGGAGGTGTGGATGCAGGTGTGGATGCAGGTGCTGGGATGCAGGTGTGGATTGCAGGTGGATGCAGGTGTGGATGCAGGTGTGGATGTGGAGTGTGGATGCAGGTGCGGATGCAGGTGTGGATGCAGGTGTGGATGCAGGTGTGGATGCAGGTGTGGATGCAGGTGTGGATGCAGGTGCGGATGCAGGTGCGGATGCAGGTGTGGATGCAGGTGTGGATGCGGTGTGGTCTGGGTGGAGATGAGTGTAGATGCAGTGTGGATGCAGGTGCGGATGCAGGTGCAGATGCAGGGGTGCGGATGCAGGTGTGGGGAGCAGGTGTGGATGCAGGTGTGGTGTGAGGTGTGGATGCAGGTGTGGATGCAGGTGCGGATGCTGGTGTGGATGCAGGTTGTGGATGGTGCAGGATGGGTGCGGATTGCATGGTGTGTGGATGCAGTGTGGTTGCAGGTGTGGATGCAGGTGTGGTGGGTGCGGATGCAGGTGTGGATGCAGGTGCGGATGAGGTGTGGATGCAGGTGTGGACAGGTGTGGATGGGGTGTGGATGCGGGTGCGGATGCAGGTGCGGATGCAGGGGTGTGGATGCAGGTGTGGATGCGGGTGTGGATGCAGGTGCAGATGCAGGTGTATGAGTGCAGGGTGCAGATGCAGGTGTGAGATGCAGAGGTGCAGATGCAGGTGTGGATGGTGTGAGATGCAGGTGTGGATGCAGGTGTGGTGGTGTGGATGCAGGTGCAGGTGTGAGGTGTGGATGCAGGTGTGGATGGTGTGGTGCAGGTGTGGATGCAGGTGTGGTGCTGGTGCGGATGCAGGTGTGGATGCAGGTGTGGATGCTTGGTGTGGATGCAGAGGTGTGGATGGGGGTGTGGATGTGAGGTGTGGATGCAGGTGTGGATGCAGGTGTGGTGCAGGTGTGGATGAGGTGCGGATGCAGGTGTGGATGCGGGTGCGGATGCAGGTGCTGGATGCAGGTGTGGATGCAGGGTGCGGATGCAGGTGCGGGATGCAGGTGTGGATGCAGGTGTGGATGCAGGTGTGGATGCAGGTGTGTGTGGATGCTGGTGCAGTTGCAGGTGTGGATGCTGAGGTGTGGTGCAGGTGTAGATGCAGGTGTGGATTGCAGGTGTGGATGCAAGTTGCGGATGCAGGTGTGGATGCAGGTGTGGATGCAGGTGTGGGATGAGGTGTGGTGCAGGTGTGGATGCAGGTGCGGATGCAGTGTGGATGCAGGTGTGGATGCAGGTGCGGATGCAGTGTGGATGAGGTGTGGATTGGTGTGGATGCAGGTGTGGATGCAGGTGTGGATGCAGGTGTGGATGCAGTGTGGATGCAGGTGTGGATGCAGGTGTGGATGGGGTGTGGTGCTGGTGCAGGATGCAGGGTGTGGATGCAGGTGCGGATGCAGGTGTGGATGCAGGTGTGGATGCAGGTGCAGATGCGTGTGGATGCAGGTGTGGATGCAGAGTGCAGTGCAGTGGGATGCAGGTGTGGATGCAGGTGTGGATGTGCAGGTGCGGATGCGAGGTGCGGATGCAGGTGGGTGCAGGTGGGATGTGGGTGCGGGATTGCAGGTGTGGATGCAGGTGTGGATGCAGGTGTGGATGCAGGTGTGGATGTGGAGTGTGGATGCAGGTGTGGATGCAGGTGCGGATGCAGGTGTGGTGCAGGTGTGGATGCAGGGTGCGGATGTGAGGTGCGGATGCGGGTGTGCGGATGCAGGTGTGGATGCAGGTGCGGATGCAGGTGTGGATGCAGGTGTGGATGCAGGTGTGGATGCAGGTGTGGATTGCAGGTGTGTGGATGCAGGTGTGGATGCAGGTGTGGATGCAAATTGTGGATGCAGGTGCAGATGCAGGTGTAGATGCAGGTGTAGATGCAGGTGTGGATGCAGGTGCGGATGCAGGTGTGGATGCAGGTGTGGATGTGAGGTGTGGATGCAGAGTGCGGATGCAGGTGCAGGATTGCAGGTGTGGATGCAGGTGTGGATGTGAGTGTGGATGTGAGTGTGGATGCAGGTGTGGATGCAGGTGGATGTGAGGTGTGGATGCAGGTGCGGATGCAGGTGCGGATGCAGGTGCGGATGCGAGGTGCGGATGCGGTGTGGATGCTGGTGCGGATGCAGGTGCGGATGCAGGTGCGGATGCAGGTGTGGATGCAGGTGTGGATTGCAGGTGTGGATGCAGGTGCGGGACAGGGTGCGGATGCAGGTGCGGATGCAGGTGTGGATGCAGGTGTGGATGCAGGTGCGGATGCAGGTGTGGATGCAGAGTGCAGATGCAGGTGCGGATGCAGGTGCAGTTGCAGTGTGGATGCAGGTGTGGATGCAGGTGTGGATGCAGGTGTGGATGCAGGTGTGGATGAGGTGTGGATGCAGGTGCGGATGCAGGTGTGGATGCAGTGTGGTGCAGGTGCGGATGGTGCGGATGCAGGTGTGGTGCAGGTGTGGATGCAGGTGTGGATGCGGTGTGGATGCAGAGGTGTGGGGTGTGTGGATGCAGGTGTGGATGCAGTGTGGATGCAGGGTGCGGATGCAGGTGCGGATGCAGGTGTGGATGCGGGTGCGGATGCAGGTGCGGATGCAGGTGTGGATTGGTGTGTGGATGCAGGGGTGTGGATGCAGGTGCGGATGCAGGTGCAGATGCAGGTGCGGATGCAGAGTGCAGATGTGAGTGTGAGATGCAGTGTGGATGCAGGTGTGGATGTGGTGCGGATGGTGTGGATGCAGGTGCAGGATGTGGTGCGGATGAGGTGTGGATGCGGTGTGGATGCAGGTGTGGATGCAGGTGTGGATGCAGGTGTGGATGCAGGTGTGGATGCAGGTGCGGATGCAGGTGTGGATGCAGGTGTGGATGTGAGGTGTGTGGATGCTGAGGTGTGGATGCAGGTGTGGATGCAGGTGTGGTTGGTGGATGCAGGTGTGGATGCAGGTGTGGATGCAGGTGCGGATGCAGGTGTGGATGCAGGTGTGGATGCAGGTGTGGATTGCAGGTGTGGATGCAGGTGCGGATGCAGGTGTGGATGCAGGTGCGGATGCAGGTGGCAGATGCAGGTGTGGATGCAGGTGTGGATGCAAGTTGCGGATGCAGGTGTGGATGCAGGTGTGAGGATGTGAGGTGTGGATGCAGGTGCGGATGCAGGTGTGGTGCAGGTGCGGATGCAGGTGCAGTTGCTAGGTGTGGATGCAGGTGCGGATGCAGGTTGCTGGATGCAGGTGTGGATGCAGGTGTGGTGAGTGTGGATGCAGGGTGGATGGAGTGCAGGATGCAGGTGTGGATGCAGGTGCGGATGCAGGTGTGGATGCAGGTGTGGATGCAGGTGCGGGATGCAGGTGCGGATGCAGGTGCGGATTGCAGGTGTGGTGCAGGTGTGGATGCAGGTGCGGATGCAGGTGCAGGGATGCAGGTGTGGATGCAGGGGTGTGCAGATGCAGGTGCGGATGCAGGTGTGGATGCAGGTTGTGGATGCAGAGTGTAGATGCAGAGTGCAGATGCAGAGTGTGGATTGGCAGGTGGATGCAGGTGCAGATGCAGAGTGTGGATGCAGGTGTGCAGGTGTGGATGCAGGTGTGAGATGCGTGTGTGGATGCAGAGTGTGGATGCAGTGTGGATGTGAGGTGCGGATGCAGGTGCAGGATGCAGGTGTGGATGCAGGTGCGGATGCAGGTGCGGATGCAGGTGGATGCAGGGTGTGGTGCAGGTGTGGATGCAGGGTGCGGATGCAGGTGTGGATGCAGGTGCGGATGCAGGTGCTGGGATGCAGGTGTGGATGCAGGTGTGTGGATGGGTGTGGATGTGGTGCGGATGCAGGTGTGGATGCGGATGGATGCAGGTGCGGATGCAGGTGTGGATGCAGAGTGGCAGATGCAGGTGTGGATGCAGGGATGTGGATGCAGAGTGTGGATGCAGGTGTGGATGCAGTGTAGTGCAGGTGCAGGATGCAGGTGTGGATGAGGTGTGGATGCAGGTGCGGATGCGGTGTGGATGAGGTGCGGATGCAGGTGTGGTGCAGGTGTGGATGCAGGTGCGGATGCAGGTGTGGATGCAGGTTGCGGATGCAGGTGCGGGATGCTGAGGTGTGGATGTGAGGTGCGGATGCTGAGTGCAGGTGCAGGTGTGGATGCAGGTGTGGATGCGGTGTGGATGCTGGGGTGCGGATGCAGGTGTGGATGCAGGTGCGGATGCAGGGGTGCGGATGCAGGTGTGGATGCAGGTGCGGATGCAGGTGCAGGTGCGGATGTGGGTGCAGGTGCAGGATGCAGTGGATGCAGGTGCAGGTGCGGATGCAGGTGCGGGTGCAGGTGTGGTGCGGATGCAGGAGTGTGTTTGGATGCAGGTGTGGTGCGGATGCAGGTGGGGTTGCGGATGCAGGTGCGGGTGCGGATGCAGGTGTGAGATGCAAGTGAGGTGCGGATGCAGGTGCAGGTGCAGGATGCAGGTGCAGGTGCGGATGCAGAGTTGGTTGCAGGTGGGTGCAGTGGGTGCAGATGCAGGGGTGCGGATGCAGGTGCAGGTGGATGCAGGTGCAGGGATGCAGGAGTGCAGGTGCGGGATGGTGTGGTGGATGCAGGGTGGGTTGGATGCAGGTGCGGGTGCGGATGGGTGCGGGGTGCAGGTTGCGGATGCAGGTGCGGGTTGCGGATGCAGGTGCTGGGGTGCAGGTGTGGGGTTGCGGATGCGGATGGGTGCGGATGCAGGGGTTGCGGATGGGTGTGGGATGCAGGTGCGGGTGCGGATGCAGGTGCAGACAGATGCAGAGTGCAGGTGCAGATGCAGAGTGCAGGTTTGGATGCAGGTTGTGGGTGCAGTGAGTGCAGGTGCGGATGCAAGTGCAGGTGCCAGTATGGGTGCAGATGCGGATGCGGAGTGCAGGTGCGGATGCAGAGTGCGAGGTTGCGGATGCAGAGTGCAGGTGCAGATGCAAATTGCAGGTGCAGGGTGCAGGTGCAGTGCAGTGCAGGTGCGGGATGCTGGGTACGGGTGCAGATGCAAGGGTGCAATTTGGATCTGGTGCAGGTTGCGGATGCAAGGTGGGTGCGGATGGTGGTGCGGATGCAAGTGTGCGGATGCAGGTGCAGGGTGCGGATGCTGAGTGCGGGTGCGGATGCAGGGGTGGGGTGCAGGTGTGGGTGCGGATGCGGATGCAGGTGCGGTGCGGATGCAGGTGCAGGTGCGGATGCAAGGTGGTGCGGATGCAGAGGTGGTGCAGGTGCAGATTCAGGTGCAGGTGCAGTGCAGGTGCAGGTTGCGGATGTAGGTGCAGGTTGCGGATGCAGGTGCAGGTGCGGATGCAGGTGCAGGTGCGGATGCAGGTGTGGGTGCAGTGCGGTGTAGGGTGCAGATGCAGTGGGTGCGGATGCAAGTGCAGGTGCAGGATGCAGGGCTGGGTGCAGAGTGCAGGGTGGATGGGGTACGGGTGCGGATGCAGAGTGTGGGTGCGGATTGCAGGTGCAGGTGCGGATGCAGGTGCGGGTGCGGATGCAGGTGCGGGTGCGGATGCAGGTGCAGGGTGAGATGCAGGTGCAGGGTGCGGATGCAGGTGCGGGTTGCGGATGCAGGGGTGCGGGTTGCGGATGCAGGTGTGGGTGCGGATGCAGGTGTGGGTGCGGATGCAGGTGGTTGCAGGTGCAGTGCGGATGCAGGTGCGGGGTTGCAGATGCAGGTGCAGTTGCGGATGCAGGTGCGGGTGCGGATGCAGGTACGGGTGCGGATGCAGGTGAGTGGTGCGGATGCAGGTGTGGTGCAGGATGCATGATTGCAGGGTGCGGATGCAGGTGGTGCGGATGCAGTGCAGGGTGCGGATGCAGGTGCAGGTTGCGGATGGGGTGCGGGTGCGGATGCAGAGTGCGGGTTGCGGATGCAGGAGTTGCAGGGTGCGGATGCAGGTGCAGGTCTTGGATGCAGTGCAGAGGGAGCGGATGGAATTGCGGATGCAGGTGCGGGTGCGGATGCAGGTGCGTTGGTGGGTATGGGTTGCAGATGCAGGTGTGAGGTGCAGATGCAGGAAGCAGGTGCAGATGCAAGTGCAGATGCAGGTATGGGTGCAGATGCAGGTCTGAAGTAGATTTGCAGATGCAGGTGCTGTTTAGATGCAAGTGCAGGTGCAGATGCAGAGTATGGGTGCAGATGGTGCAGGTGCGGATGCAAGTGCAGTGCGGATGCAGGTGCTGGAATGCAAGTACAGGTTGCAGATGCAGATTTGAGTGCGGATGCAGGTATGGGTGCAGATGCAGGTACAGTTGCAGATGCAAGTGCAGGGGTGCAGATGCAAGTGCAGGTGCAGATGCAAGTGCAGGTACAGAGTTGAATTTGGATGCAGATGAAATGCAGGTGCAGATGAAGTACGGGTGCAGATGCAAGTGCAGGTGCAGATGCGGTACGGTGCAGATGCAGGGGTACAGGTGCAGATGCAGGCTGGGTGCAGATGCAAGTGGGTGGATGCAAGAATGTGGGTGCAGATGCAGATGTGGGTGCGGATGCAAGGGACAGGTTTGGATGCAAGTGTGGGTGCAGATGCAGGTGGTGTGCGGATGCAACAGGTTGCGGATGTGCAGGTGCGGGTGCAGGGATGGGTGCGGATGCGGATGCAAGTGCAGGTTGCGGATGCAGGTGCAGGTTGCAGGGATGCAGGGTGCAGGTGCAGATGCAGGTGCGGATGGGTGGGATGCAGGGTGCAGTTGGGTGCGGGTGCGGATTTGGTGCGGATGCGGATGCAGGTGCGGGTGCGGATGGGGTATGGTTGCGGATGGGGTGCGGGTGCGGATGCAGGTGGGTGCGGATGCAGGGGTGCGGATGCAGTGCGGGTGCAGATGCTGTGGTGTGGGATGGAGGGTGCGGTGCGGATGCCAGGTGCGGATGCAGGTGGGGATGCAGGTGCGGGTGCAGATGCAGGTGCAGGTGCAGATGCAGGTGCTGGTGCAGATGGTGCAGGTTGCGGATGCAGAGTGCAGGTTGCGGATGCAGGTGTGAGTTGCGGATGCAGGTGCGGTGCGGATGCAGGTGTGGGTGCGGATGCAGGTGCGGGTGCGGATGCAGGTTGGGTTGCGGATGCAGGGACGGGTGCGGATGCAGGTGTGGGTGCGGATGCAGGGTGTGGTTGCGGATGCAGGTGTAGGTGCAGATGCTGGTGCTGGGTGCGGATCAAGGTGTGGGTGCGGGCAGGGGTGTGGATGGGGATGCAGGTGTGGGTGCGGATGCAGGTGTAGATGTGGATGCTGGGGTGTGGGGTGCAGTGCTGTGGGTGTGGGTGCGGATGCAGGTCAGGGTTACGGATGCAGAGTGTGGGTGCGGATGCAGGTGCGGATGCAGGTGGGTGCGGATGCAGGTATGGTGCAGATGCAGGTGGGTGCGGATGGGAGTGTGGGTGCAGATGCAGTGCAGGTGCAGTGCAGGTATGGGTGCGGAGTCATGAGTGGGTGCAGATGCAGGTGCAGGTGCGGATGCAGGTGTGGGTGCGGATGCAGAGTGCAGGTGCGGATGCAGGATGGGTGCAGTGCGGATGCAGGGTGCGGATGCAGGTGTGGGTTGCGGATGCAGGTTGGTGCGGATGCAGGGGTGGGGTTGCGGATGCAGGTGTGGGTGCCGGATGGGTGTGCGGATGCAGGTTGGGTGCTGGTGCGGATGCAGGGGTATGGTTGCGGGTGCAGGTGTGGGTGCAGGATGCAGGTGGAGTGCGGATGCAGAGTGCAGGTGGATGCAGGTGTGGGGTGCAGATGCAGGTGCAGGTGCAGGATGCAGGTGTGGTGCGGATGCAGGTGTGGTGCAGATGCAGGTGCAGGTGCGGATGCAGGGGTGGGTTACGGATGCAGGTGTGGGGCAGGATGCAGGTGCAGGGTGCAGGTGTGGTTGCGGGTGCAGATGGTGCGGATGCAGGTGCAGGTTGCGGATGGGTGCGGGTGCGGATGCAGGTGTGGGTGCGGATGGTGTGGGTTTGGTCAGGTGTGGGTGCTGGGATGCAGGTGTGGGGTTGCGGGACTGGTGCTGGGTGCGGATGCAGGTGTGGGTGCGGATGGGGTGCGGGTGCAGTGCAGGTGCGGGTGCGGATGCAGGTGTGGGTTTGGATGGGGTGCGGTTGCGGATGTGTGGGATGCGGTGTGGGTTGCAGGTGTGGGTGCGGATGCAGGTGTGGTGCAGATGCAGATTGGTGCAGATGCTGAGTGTAGGTGCAGATGCAGGGTGCAGGTGCAGATGCAGAGTGTGGGTGCAGATGCAGTGTGGGGTGCAGATGCAGGTTGCGGGTGCAGATGGTGTGGTGCGGATGCAGGTATGGGTGCGGATGGGGTGCTGGTGCGGATGAGGTGCAGGGTGCGGATGCAGGTATGGGTGCGGATGCAGGTGCGGGTGCGGATGCAGGTGTGGGTTGCAGGTGTGGTGCGGATGCAGGTGCAGGGTGCGGATGGGTGCGGGTGCGGATGCAGGTGTGGGTGCGGATGCAGGTGCGGGTTGCGGATGCGGGTGTGGGTGCGGATGCAGGGTGTGGGTGCGGATGCAGGTGCAGGGTGCGGATGCAGGGTGGGTGGATGCAGGTGCGGGTGCGGATGCTGCAGGTGTGGGATGCAGGTATGGTGCAGATCAGGGGTGTGGGTGCAGATGCAGGTATGGGTGCGGATGAGGTATGAGGTGCGGATGCAGGTGCAGAGTGCGGATGCAGGTGCAGGTTGCGGATGGGTGTGGGTGCAGGATGCAGGTGCGGGAGGGTGCGATGCAGAGTGTGGTGCGGATGCAGGTATGAGTTGCGGATGCAGGTGCAGGTTGCGGATGCAGGTATGGGTGCGGATGCAGGTGTGGGTGCGGATGCAGGTGTGGGTTGGGATGCAGGTCAGGGTGCGGATGCGGTGCGGGTTGCGGATGCAGGGGTATGGGTGCGGATGCAGGTGCGGGTGCGGATGCAGGTGTGGGTGCGGAGTGCAGGTGTGGGTGCGGATGCAGGGCAGGTGCGGATGCAGAGGCAGGGTGCGGATGCAGGTGCAGGGTGCGGATGCAGGGTGTGGGTTGCGGATGCAGGTGTGGGTGCGGATGCAGGGTGTGGTGCAGATACGGTGCAGGTGCGGATGCAGAGTGTGGGTGGATGCAGGTGTGGTGCAGATGCAGGTGCAGTGCGGATGCAGAGTTGCAGGTGCGGATGCAGGTATGGTGCAGATGCAGGTGCAGGTGCGGATGCAGGTATGGGTGCAGTTCGGTGGGTGCGGATGCAGAGTGCAGGGTGCGGATGCAGAGTTGGGTGCGGATGCAAGTGTGGGTGCGGATGCAGGGTATGGGTGCGGTGCAGGTTGGTGCAGATGTGTGGGTGCGGATGCAGTGTATGGGTGGATGCAGGTATGGTGCGGATGCAGAGTGTGCCGGATGCAGGTGCGGGTTGCGGATGCAGGTGCTGGGTGCAGGATGCAGGTGCGGATGGGCATGGGTTGCGGATGCAGGTGTGGTGCGGATGCAGGTGTGGGTGCGGATGCAGGTGCAGGTGCGGATGCAGAGTGCAGGTGGATGCAGGTGTGGGTGGGATGCAGGTGCAGGGTGCGGTGCAGTGGGTGCGGATGCAGGTGTGGGTGCGGATGCAGGTGCAGGTGCGGATGCTGAGGTGTGGGTGCAGGATGCAGGTGTGGGTGCTGGATGCAGGTGTGGGTGCGGATGGGGTGCAGGTGCGGATGCAGGTGCGGGTGCGGATGCAGGTGTGGGTGCGGATGCAGGTGCGGGTGCGGATGCAGGTGTGGGTGCGGATGCAGGTGCGGGTGCGGTGCAGGTGTGGGTTGGATGCAGGTGCAGGTTGCGGATGGGTGTGGGTGCGGATGCAGGTGCGGGTTGCAGGTGCAGGTGTGGGGTGCGGATGGGGTGTGGTGCGGATGCAGGTGTGGGTGCAGGATGCAGGTGCAGGGTGCGGATGCAATTGTGGTTGAGATGGGAGTGTGCGGATGCAGGTGCAGATTGCAGATGCAGGTGTGGGTGGATGCAGAGTGCAGGTGCGGATGCAGGTGTGGGTTGCGGTGCAGGTGCGGATTGCGGATGCAGGTGTGGGTTGCGGATGCAGGTGTGCGGATTCAGGTGCAGTGCGGATGCAGGTGAGGTTGCGGATGCAGGTGCGGGGTGCGGATGCAGGTG